AGTAGGGAGTCAAGGAATACTATCTACAAATGACAGTTCAAAATATAGAGGTATATTATTTAATTTTAAAAGTAGTTGGTGGAACTAAAAAAGAAAAACATTACAAAAAATGAGAAATAGTTCAGTGAGCTAAATTTCTCATTTTTTATAGCAAGGAGTTAGTAAAGCTGATAAATTAATAAATGCAGACATAAAAATATTATTTATAGTTGAGATGTGATAAAAACAAAAAAAATAGTCAAAAGCAGTTACTTCTGAGGAACGGAGCACAAGATGGGGAGATAAAATTGTACTTTTCACATTTATCTTTCTGTATTGCTTAAATTACTTTTCCATGCATGTTTTACATTTATAATACAAAGCTGATGTTGGTGTCTTACTGTATCAACACAGATTTAGAGTTCAATGATTTAGAAGACAGTAGAGAAAAGGAATCAAAGATTGGAAGGTGAAGTCTTTTGGAAGAAGGCTAAAGGGCACAGGATTAGCTGATGTGAAAAAAGAAGGGTAAAAAGTAATTTTATAAAATCAGTTAATACATTTGTAATAATGTGAATAAACATCGAGGGCATTATGCTAAGTGAAAAAGGCACACAGAGAAAGACAAATAAGTGTATGGTCTTACTTAAATGTGTAATCTTAAAAAAACGAACTTATGGAAACAAGAGAACAGATTGGTGGTCGTCAGGGGGTTGAGGGGAGAATGGGTGAAGGGGATCAAAAGGCACAAAATTCCAGTTACAAGATCAATGAGATCTAAGGATGGAATGTACAGCAATGGTGACTACAGTGAACATAGTTTTGTACGCTTGAAAGCTGCTAAGAGAGCAGATCTTAAAAGTACTCACTGCAAGAAAAAAAATCGTGAGGTTACTGAACTTGTGGCACTTTGCTCTATGTATCATTATACTGTATACCCGAAACTCACACAATATTATGTATCAATTATATTTGAGTAAGCCGGAAAAAAAAAAATCAAAGACACGCTTATACAAAAACATGCTTACCTGTGATAGAAAATGGGTCTTTATCCTGAGAGTAAAACAAGTGAGCTCCATCTGTAGCAGAAAGGACTTAGGATAGCAATGCAGGAAAATATCCTGCTCCAGGAGCAGAGAGTCTTACAAGGAGACACTGGGGAATCCCATTCCCTAGTTATTTTTCAGAGGACAGAAAAAATCTGTCCTTTGATTTCTTGACTAGGTAGAATGCTATCAAGAAGCACGGCTGTGATCTATAAAGATCCTATAGCATTTCATTTATAACATGATTCACATACTTTATTTCAAAAAAAAAGGAGGTTATAACTTTTGAAGCTAACAGAATCCTCTCTTGAGGACTGCTCTGGAGTATATTAGTTAAAAAGGAAAGGCTTTCCTCTTTTATCATCTGCATGCCTTTTATTATATTTCTTAACATCTAACCCAAACATGAAAGGCACAGTAGATTCAGGTTATGCCTCTAAACATAAAGTCATCACCTTCTGTTTCATTGATTCTTAGGGGGTTAAAAGGCATTTGCCTTCTTGCTACTACGCTTGTTCTTACATTATTTATCTGTTAATCTATTAAAACACGTATTGCTGTAGCATGTAAGTACTAACATAGAAGGTTAAAAAGATGTAAATTATTTCAATCCAACAACTAATGAAAACAAAATACCCAAAAAAGGGGGGGAAAAAAAGACATTGATGACTTAATATAAAGCTACTGGTAGGAGGGGTTCCTGGGTGGCTCAGTCGGATAAGCATCTGCCTTTGGCTCAGGTCAGAATCTGAGGGTCCTGGGTTTGAGCCCTGTGTCAGGCCCCCTGCTTAGCGGGGAGTCCGCTCCTCCCTCTGCCTCTGCTCCTCCCCCTGCTTGAGCTCTCTCTCAAATAAATAGTTAAATCTTAAAAAAAAAAAAAAAAAAAAAAAAGCTACTGGGAGGGGTCTAATGAGTGAATGCATTTTTTTTTGAAGATTTTATTTATTTATTTGACAGAGAGAGATCACAAGTAGGCAGAGAGGCAGGCAGAGAGAGAGGGGGAAGCAGGCTCCCTGCTGAGCAGAGAGTCCGATGTGGGGCTCGATCCCAGGACCCTGGGATCATGACCTGAGCCAAAAGCAGAGGCTTTAACCCACTGAGCCACCCAGGCGCCCCGAGTGAGTGCATTTTTGAATCAAGAAAAAAACCATTTAAATAACTACAAAACCATTATGATATATACCTGAGTCAGCAGTCAGTCAACCAGTTCTTGTCAAAAACCCATACTGTAACACATCTTCAGCAGGGGAACATAAAGAGATGAAGCATCTAATTTATAACGCAAAACAACAGACAAGATGGGTGATGGTAACCAGTGAGATGTGGAAAAGATGGGGAAGCAGAGGTTCTGGCCTATGAACTGTATACTCAGGGAGCAATAGCTCTGAAAAGATAAATGGTCAGTTGTTCATGGGCCTGGAAGTCCTTCCTGTCGTATAAAAAGGGTTCCAGGCACTTGGAAACAAGTTAGTCATTTGCATTTCCCTGTTTCTGCCATCTAGCTGGGCTTAGCCTTCTTTAGTAAGGCTTTGTGGTACAATAGAAAGAGCCCTCCACTTTCTCTTTTATAAAATGAGAACAATATCCCACATGGTGTTTTATGTTCAGGACAAAGTGAGAGAAAATACAGCAAAGTCATAGAATACAGTTACTCAATAATTGTTAGTTTTCTTATCTGACGGCAGAGATGGCTATAAGATGTGTGCTCTGCTGAGAAGTGGCTGCCCAGCTGGAACTATGGTTTCCAGCCCTACCAGCACCTAGTGTGGTAAATGACTACTTCTCCTCAATCACACGCAAGTGGAAGGGATGGCCACTATACCCGGGCCAAGGCTGTGCAGAAGGACCAGATATAGCTTCTCTCTGGTCTTTCCCCATTTGGCGGCTAGATGCAGATGATGCTGATGAACCCCCAGATGATGGCAGTGCCACAAGAAGGAAGATGCCTGGGTTCCTCAGTAACCTGTGGAAAAGAGCCACCTGACAACCAGGACTGCCCCTACTGCTTGCTACGCGACTGAGAAATAAACTATTGCATTAAGACTCCGGAATGTTGAAGCCACTTTGCATTATAGCAGCAAGTGTTACCTTAACCAATGGAAGCATTAAGTGCGCTCTATGATAATTACGATCATTACGATGGTAATGTAATTGGGTGTCAGAAGTTGCATCAAACAAGCCATCATTAATGCTGTTATGAAATCTTGGCCAAGAAAGTACACGAAAAGATGTCTGTCATTCGTCGTGAGGAAAATGCAAACTGAAACCACCACTTCATTCCCACTAGGATGGCTGTGAGTAAGAAGCTAGACAGTAGTAAGTATTGGCGAGAATGGGAAGAAATTAGAACCCTCCTCCATTGCTGGTGGGAATGCAAAATGCTGCAGCTGCTGTGGAGAAGTTTGGCAATTCCCCAAAAACTTAAACACAGAGTTACCATAAGACCCAGCAATTTTACGCCCAGGAATATACTCAAGAGGACTGAAAGCATATGTTCGTAAAAAGACTCACACAGGAAGGTTCACAGCAGAAATACTCATTTTAGCCAAAATGTGCAAACAATTCCAATGTTCATCTGCTGATGAATGGAGAAACAAAATGTGACACGTATATTTCCATAGGATAGAATATTATCCAGCCATAAAAAGGAATTAAGTGCCGACACCTGCTGCAACATGAATGAAGCTTGACAGAAGTCTATGTCAAATGAAGAAAAGCCAGAAGAAAAGATCACATCTTATATAATTCTGTGTATAGGAAATGTCCAGAATATGCAAATCCACAGAGACAGAAGGGAGATAACTGGGGGTGAGGGGCTGTGGGAACTGGAAGGAAATGTAAAGACTGTTAATGGGTAGGAGGTTTTCTTTTGGGGGGTGATGAAAATGTTTGAAACATTAGATAGCAGGGATGACTGCCCAACTCTGTGAATACACTAAAAACTCTAGACCGTACATTTAAAAGGGTGAATTGTGTGGTACATGAATCATATTTCAATAGTAAAAAAGAGAAATCTTCACGTGCCCAGGTGGCTAGTTGGATAAGCGTCTGCCTTCAGCTCAGGTCATGCAGGGTCCTGGGGTTGAGCCCTGCATCAGGCTCCCTGCTCAGTGGGAAGTCTGCTTCTCCCTCTCCCACAGTCTCTCTGCCACCCTCTGCCCTGCTTGTGCTCTCTCTCTCTCTCAAATAAATAAAATCTTAAAAAAAAAAAAAAAAAAAAAAGGAAAGAAAGAAATCTCAGGTATTTTACTTTACCTTGCCTCCCAGAGAATCTGGTTCTACCCAAAAAGGCACTGAGCTCTTTTTAGCTAATGACTGGGGAAAGGTATGATTCTACGATGCTGAGAATGTGCTAATTTTTATCTGAGCGAGTTATACAGGTATAGACACATGTTCAGACTCATTCCAATCATGATCTCAGGCCAGTCAGAACCCACAGGATCCTTCCTCCTAGCTTCCCCCACAACAATGTAAACGCAAACGGAGGCCCAAAGCCATATGCATTAAATGACTAGAGACCTACAATACCAAACTTTCTTTCTGGGATGAGATAAATATTTAAAAGTAACGCTGGGAATGATATGAAGATAGGGAATGGAGTCCCAGAATAAATACTAAAGTGTGTATTGTACTGGCAAAATTCTGTAAGGAAGAAAAAAGTTCTAAAGGGGTAGTGTGTGGTATCAGGGGTGGGAACCCAAGAGAGGATTACATATTGAAATCCTTTTCCCTGCTCAGGTACATGTCATTTTCAAGAGTCAAGTTCAAACCGCCAAATAAGAAAAGCTTATTTGATCACATAAAAAAATAACTTCTCGTCAAAGTACTTAATAGTCAAAACTGAAGTAAATGATGTTTTCAACCTGTAACTAAGAATAATTTGGTGATTCCATGAGTCTTCATGAGAACCTTCTGTACCCATCAGGAAGACGGTCTTTTAAATTGTAATAAATTCTGTGAGAAGACATAACTTACTTGCAGGAGACTTTCGTTCTGTCGGCCACCATGGTCCACTGTTGCTGGTTGGTGGAGACCTCAACGTAGTAGCTGTAGCTTCGATCATCACAGTCCCAAAGTAATAACCTGAACAAAGGAAAATACATAAGAACGCTGTGAATGTTCTAACTGCCTGTTTCCTGTCAGCATAAGGAAATTCATGTCTACTTTACCTCTCCTTCCTGCCTCCTTTGTCCCCTTACCCCCACCCCACTTCCAGGGCTGGAGAAAGGACATGAACCTCCGGCAAAAGTCTGGTGACAGGAGGTAGAATCAGTCTGCAGTGAAAGCCATGTCTCTTTAGGAACTTATCTCAGGCAGCCTTTGCTCCCTGACTGGCTATGCTCTTCGGGTTGGCTTATCTATGAGAAGATGTCCCCAAATCCTCCTTCCTGATTCATCTCCACTTGGCTGGGCTGACCAAAGGTAACAACATCCTTGAGACTAGCATTCATGGGGGAATCTGTGCTTTGTAACTGATAATAACTAGTATGCCCCCAATGACCTCAATTATCATGTTTTAGATTCCCTCTCATTCTTACGGAATTTTGCACAGCTGTGGTACAATGATCTGATTTGGAGATACAAGCAAACATATATTCGTTAGTAAAACTTTCTTATTATTTAGAGACTGATTATTTGGGTTCTATTCCTCATAACTCCTTTTTAGCTCAGATAAGAACCTGAGCATTGACTCTGTGATTCCATTTACATGAAACTTAAAAGAGACAAAATTCATCGCTGGTGATAGGAAATCAGAACAGTGGTTACCTCTGGAAGAGGTAATGCTTGTGAAAAGGAACGAGGGTATCTTCTAGGATGCTGGAAGTGTGCTGATTCTGGCCAAGTGGTACTTCATGGGTACACACACAATAAATACCCAGTTAAGTTATACATGAAAGATTTGTGCCCCGTATGTGTGGTTACTCCTCAATTAAAAAAAATAAGAGAAAAGAATCTAAGTATTATAATACTTAGATTAGACAACAGTTCAGCATTTTGCTTTTGATGGTGCCACAGTGGCAGGAGATGAGACACCATTGTTTTCTGTGATTTTAACCTCAAAAAAAAAAAAAAAGAATTATGATTTCAGCCTCAAAAGTCCTTCCCATACAAGATACCTATCTATTGGGGCACCTGGGTGGCTCAGTGGGTTAAAGCCCTGCATCGGGGCTCTCTGCTCAGCAGGAGGCCTGCTTCTTTTCCTCTCTCTGTCTGCCTCTCTTGCCTACTTGTGATCTCTGTCTGTCAAATAAATAAATAAAATCTTAAAAAAAAAAAAAAGATACCTATCTATTGTTTTACATTTGGTCATGCATATTTTCTTCTTCCAATGGCCAGAACAGAGAGTGAGCTCCCTGAAGACAGTGCTTATGTCTTACTGATCCTTCTATACCCAGGTACTCAGCATGGTGTCTCACTGAGCCTACGCTCAATGAATATTTATTTGTAACAACAGTGATAATGATGATTATTAATATCATACTGGCCAACATTTCTTTAATGCTTATACTGTGTACCAGGCCCTATGTTAAGTACTCTATATAATTTATCTTATTAAATGATTCCAAAATCCCCAAAGCAAGCATTAGTATTCTCATCAAATTATAGATGGTGAAAGTAAGGCTTATTGCTGTTAAGTAACGTGTCTAGGCTCAAACAGTTAGTGTTGGCAGATAACAGGGTTCAAACCTGGTGTCCTGGCCAAAGCCCATTTTTATCATCCCTCTGTCAAGTGCTTCCTTTACTCCCACTTTATGAATCCTGGTCCCGATTTATAACCTACAACCTATCACTCTACAAAAGTAGTTCATACTATTTGCCCTTGATCTTGCAATGATAATCAATAAAAACTTTTTGCACAAGCTCAGTTTAGTGTTGTCTATAATGCTATTATTGGGGATTAGAAATGACACTGTGTTCCCTTTACCTTTTATTTGTTTCCAAGTCTAATTTTGTTTGCTATTAATGACTAAACCTATACTACCTAATATTTTGGAATTCATCTTTTAAGTAAAGCAGAAACAGATTCCACCTTAATTCACCTGAGTATTCCCCTTAATTCGCCTGAGTATTTAATCTCTCCAAGTACTCTGAATGAATCAGACAGGATCCCACCCTATTGTTTTTACGTCTAATAATTCTGCTCTCAGATTGTTCCAGCTTGACTAATAAGAAAGTGAGTCATTTCCCTCATTAGTCATTTCCTTGAATATTATTCTAGTTTCTTAGCACTTTAATGCAGTTTAGCCTGTTAATTTATGTTTACGTTGAGTAACCTTTAAAAGTATAATTTTTTAAAAAGATTTTATTTATTTGACAGACAGAGATCACAAGTAGGCAGAGAGGCAGGCAGAGGGAGAGGAGGAAGCAGTCTCCCCACTAAGCAGAGAGCCCAATGCAGGGCTTCATCCCAGGACCCTGGGATCATGACCTGAGTCGAAGGCAGAGGCTTAACCCACTGAGCTACCCAGGTGCCCCTCAAAATATAATTTTTGTTTCTATGTTTGTCTGGCTCTTATAAAAATTATAGAAAGACTGTTGATCTTCTCATTTTAAAAAAAATTCTACTTCAAACATGGATTCTGTTCAAAGTGTATGTTCCATACATGTTCTGGGCTGAAATAGCTCATAACTCTGCCAGAGTAGATTAAAAACAAGAAAAAAAACTTCAGATTAATTACTCATTCTCTTTACTTAACAACTCTGATAACAAACAGGCTTTTTGGGAGATAACGTTGAGGCTATTTCCTCAATGGGATTTTAGATTATTTGTGGAGAGCCAGGTTTATCATAATCCCTATCCTTCTGGATAATCATGAATTAGTGTTTCTACTAGTGTATCCAGTGAAAATAATCAGGCCCTTTTGGGATTGAATCTAACCAGATCTCAAAATATTTCATGGAAAAAGACTGCCCTGAGGAGATGGGATATGAAGAAGATAAAAAGAAAGACCAATTTTAAGTATCACAAATGCTGTAGTAGAAATTCCTGGTATGACAGGATATTAAAAGAATTTTTAAAGTAGTGTATATTTTGTCCCTTAGTAGTTTTTCCTATAAAGTCCTCTAACTTGTTTCAAGACAGATTTTTATTTTAAAAGGAAGATCACCTGTAATTCTAGTAATTTTGTAAATGCATACACATGGTCCAAATTATTTGTAACTTGCTTCTTTCACTTAGTGGTTGATTACAAATACCTTTCTTTTGTAGTTATCAAATTTGCTTTTTCATTGTATGTACTGGCTTCACAGAATTCCACCTTATGGATGTCCCACAATTTATTTATTCAGTTTCTTATTATTGGACAGTTAGGTAGTTGGTAATATTACATTGCTAGGAAAACTCTGTGATGAATATTCTTAAGCTAAATCTACAACTCCTGCCCATGAAAGTTTCTATAAGTAAAACTCCTGGGGCAGAGTAGGTAAGGCCTTGATATGTATCACAAAAAGACTACACACTTCCCCCCCCTTCCCCCAAACAAAAGTCAGTACTCGTTTCTACTCATATTACCAGCAGTGTATGACAAATGTCTGTTTCTCTGCATCATTGCTGATATTGTGTATTATGTTTAAAAACACTTCCAATTTGATAGATGAAATCTATGTCATTAACTTGCAGCTTTTTACTTACCATTGAACTTGAACACTTTACCCATTTTCTACTTATATTTATCCTTTTGTTAAAAAGGATAATTACAAGATGCCCTCTATATTTGAAGGATATTAATCTACTGCCTATCATAGTTTGCATGCTGAAGATATTAATTTTTATTAGCTCAGTCTATTGATCTTTACTTCAATAATTTCTCCTGGCCTAAATTCTTTTTTCTGAACAGCAGCCAAATGCACACACTGGTTGAGACATCTCCTTTCTATTCCTCTACTAAGTGTCCCTGGGGGCTGGAAATGTGGGGTCATGGTGACTCCTGGGTGGAAAAGGGACACTGATGGACCACACGTTATCAAACTACCTACACATTGGAGTTTTTAAGAGAGATTCTAATTCATGTGCCTGGATGAATATTTGCTTGGAATTTAGGCTTAGCCAGGAATGAAAATCCCTTTGTTGATTCAACTGGGAAAAAAAAAAAAAAGCAAGTACAGTCTAAGGACACTAAAGGAAAAATTGGCTCACTCCCCCTCCCCCCACAGAGAAGAATTCTGTTCTAATAAGGCACAACTGAAAAACCCACCAACTCCCTCCCTTCTTCCCTTGGCGGCAGTCTGTTCCCATGTCTGTGCACCTGCAACAACAGAGGTACTTCTGATTTGTAATCTGCAGAGGAATGTCTGCTCAGAGAGTCGCCCAGGACAGACACACTCCCTCTGACCTTATCAGAGAGGTGCTCCTTAAACATATCCCCCTCTATCTCACACACCTCCACCTGGACATCAGAAGCCATTTCCGGAGGGGCTGGATAAAGGAAGCCACTGGCCAGGATCTACTGATGCAGATCAGGTCTGTACTTAGCTGTTGCTACAATTCCCTCTCCCTAATGAGCACCGCCTGAAACGCCTTAAACCTTGTCTCCTCCATCTTCTTTCAGTCTCATTGCGGAGTTTCCCCTAAAAGCAGTGAAGTGCTGGGCTTTTTTTAATTGATTAGCAGATGTGATTTTGCTTACATCTTCCATAAATGCTCTGGCTGGCTGCATACCATTGATTACCGGGGTTCAGTTTACAGCAACTAATTGCTCTCCTTGCTGGTGTTTTGATACAAAATTCAATAGTGAATATGTTTTCAAAACTCTTGTCTTTGCGGCTTGAGTCAGAAGTGACTTGAGGCAAACCCAGTGGACTGAGTTTTCCCTTCTTTAAAATAATTGCTCTCTCATCAGTCTGTGAAGAAAGTTTCCAAATTGTAGCATTCTAATTGGAAAGTCTGCATTATGCATGCGATGACAAACTATGTTGTGCTGAATGGCATTTTTTTCATCCCTTTCTTAAGGGATTAATTCTGTGCCAGATTGGAAACAGCACTGAGGTTTAAACAGTTGAGATCAACAGCTTCTCCGCTGAATTGGTGTCTTTTAGGTCAGTAGCAAGGATCTGTTCTGCCTGTTTCTAACTGTCTGTCCTGG